CTGGGAGGGGACTGGGAGGCACTGGTGGGAAGTGGGAGGGCACTGGGAAGACACTGGGAGGCACTGGTGGGGACTGGGAGTGGGCTGGGAGGCACTGGGAGGGGACTGGGAGGCACTGGTGGGAAGTGGGAGGGCACTGGGAAGACACTGGGAGGGCACTGGTGGGGACTGGGAGGGTCCCCATCCACCCCTCTGGGGTCCACAATCTACCAGTGGGGGGGAATGTTGGGGACTGGGGGGCACTGAGGGGTACTGGGAGGGCACTGGGAGGCACTGGTAGGGACTGGGAGGGCTCTGGGAGGACACTGGGAGGCACTGGGGGGCACTGGGAGGGGACTGGGAGGTACTAGAAGGCACTGTGGGGACTGGGAGGACACTGGGAGGCACTGGTGGGGAGTGGGAGGGCACTGGGAGGACACTGGGAGGCACTGGGAGGGTCCCTATCCATCCCTCTGGGGTCCCAGTCACACCCGTATGGGGCAATGGGGGGGAATGGGGGACACTGGGAGCACTGGGATTGTCCCTCTCCATCCCTCTTGGTCCCCGTCCCACGAGTATGGGCTACTGGGAGCACTGGGAGCACTGGGATTGTCCCTTTCCATCCCTCTTGGTCCCTGTCCCACCAGTATGGGCCACTGGGGAGCACTGGGAGCACTGGGATTGTCCCTCTCCATCCCTCTTGGTCCCCGTCCCACCAGTATGGGCTACTGGGAGCACTGGGATTGTCCCTTTCATACCTCTGGCTTCCCCATCCCACCAGTATGGGCCACTGGGAGCACTGGGAGCATTGGGATTGTCCCTTTACATCCCTCTGGCTTCCCCATCCCACCAGTATGGGCCACTGGGAGCACTGGGAGCACTGGGATGGTCCCTTTCCATCCCTCTTGGTCCCCGTCCCACGAGTATGGGCCACTGGGAGCACTGGGAGCACTGGGATTGTCCCTTTCCATCCCTCTTGGTCCCTGTCCCACCAGTATGGGCTACTGGGAGCACTGGGATTGTCCTTCTCCATCCCTCTTGGTCCCCGTCCCACCAGTATGGGCTACTGGGAGCACTGGGATTGTCCTTCTCCATCCCTCTTGGTCCCCGTCCCACCAGTATGGGCTACTGGGAGCACTGGGATTGTCCTTCTCCATCCCTCTTGGTCCCCGTCCCACCAGTATGGGCTACTGGGAGCACTGGGATTGTCCTTCTCCATCCCTCTTGGTCCCCGTCCCACCAGTATGGGCTACTGGGAGCACTGGGATTGTCCTTCTCCATCCCTCTTGGTCCCCGTCCCACCAGTATGGGCTACTGGGAGCACTGGGATTGTCCTTCTCCATCCCTCTTGGTCCCCGTCCCACCAGTATGGGCTACTGGGAGCACTGGGATTGTCCTTCTCCATCCCTCTTGGTCCCCGTCCCACCAGTATGGGCCACTGGGAGCACTGGGATTGTCCTTCTCCATCCCTCTTGGTCCCCGTCCCACCAGTATGGGCTACTGGGAGCACTGGGATTGTCCTTCTCCATCCCTCTTGGTCCCCGTCCCACCAGTATGGGCTACTGGGAGTACTGGGATTGTCCCTTTCATCCCTCTGGCTTCCCCATCCCACCAGTATGGGCCACTGGGAGCACTGGGAGCACTGGGATTGTCCCTTTCCATCCCTCTTGGTCCCCGTCCCACCAGTATGGGCCACTGGGGAGCACTGGGAGCACTGGGATTGTCCCTCTCCATCCCTCTTGGTTCCCGTCCCACCAGTATGGGCCACTGGGGAGCACTGGGAGCACTAGGATTGTCCCTCTCCATCCCTCTGGCTTCCCCATCCCACCAGTATGGGCCACTGGGAGCACTGGGAGCACTGGGATGGTCCCTTTCCATCCCTCTTGGTCCCCGTCCCACGAGTATGGGCTACTGGGAGCACTGGGAGCACTGGGATTGTCCCTTTCCATATCTCTCAGTTCCCTGTTCCACCAGTATGGGCCACTGGGGAGCACTGGGAGCACTGGGATTGCCCCTTTCCATCCCTCTTGGTCCCCGTCCCACGAGTATGGGCTACTGGGAGCACTGGGAGCACTGGGATTGCCCCTTTCCATCCCTCTTGGTCCCCGTCCCACGAGTATGGGCTACTGGGAGCACTGGGAGCACTGGGATTGCCCCTTTCCATCCCTCTTGGTCCCCGTCCCACGAGTATGGGCTACTGGGAGCACTGGGAGCACTGGGATTGCCCCTTTCCATCCCTCTTGGTCCCCGTCCCACGAGTATGGGCTACTGGGAGCACTGGGAGCACTGGGATTGCCCCTTTCCATCCCTCTTGGTCCCCGTCCCACGAGTATGGGCTACTGGGAGCACTGGGAGCACTGGGATTGCCCCTTTCCATCCCTCTTGGTCCCCGTCCCACGAGTATGGGCTACTGGGAGCACTGGGAGCACTGGGATTGCCCCTTTCCATCCCTCTTGGTCCCCGTCCCACGAGTATGGGCTACTGGGAGCACTGGGAGCACTGGGATTGCCCCTTTCCATCCCTCTTGGTCCCCGTCCCACGAGTATGGGCTACTGGGAGCACTGGGAGCACTGGGATTGCCCCTTTCCATCCCTCTTGGTCCCCGTCCCACGAGTATGGGCTACTGGGAGCACTGGGAGCACTGGGATTGCCCCTTTCCATCCCTCTTGGTCCCCGTCCCACGAGTATGGGCTACTGGGAGCACTGGGAGCACTGGGATTGCCCCTTTCCATCCCTCTTGGTCCCCGTCCCACGAGTATGGGCTACTGGGAGCACTGGGAGCACTGGGATTGCCCCTTTCCATCCCTCTTGGTCCCCGTCCCACGAGTATGGGCTACTGGGAGCACTGGGAGCACTGGGATTGCCCCTTTCCATCCCTCTTGGTCCCCGTCCCACGAGTATGGGCTACTGGGAGCACTGGGAGCACTGGGATTGCCCCTTTCCATCCCTCTTGGTCCCCGTCCCACGAGTATGGGCTACTGGGAGCACTGGGAGCACTGGGATTGCCCCTTTCCATCCCTCTTGGTCCCCGTCCCACGAGTATGGGCTACTGGGAGCACTGGGAGCACTGGGATTGCCCCTTTCCATCCCTCTTGGTCCCCGTCCCACGAGTATGGGCTACTGGGAGCACTGGGAGCACTGGGATTGCCCCTTTCCATCCCTCTTGGTCCCCGTCCCACGAGTATGGGCTACTGGGAGCACTGGGAGCACTGGGATTGCCCCTTTCCATCCCTCTTGGTCCCCGTCCCACGAGTATGGGCTACTGGGAGCACTGGGAGCACTGGGATTGCCCCTTTCCATCCCTCTTGGTCCCCGTCCCACGAGTATGGGCTACTGGGAGCACTGGGAGCACTGGGATTGCCCCTTTCCATCCCTCTTGGTCCCCGTCCCACGAGTATGGGCTACTGGGAGCACTGGGAGCACTGGGATTGCCCCTTTCCATCCCTCTTGGTCCCCGTCCCACGAGTATGGGCTACTGGGAGCACTGGGAGCACTGGGATTGCCCCTTTCCATCCCTCTTGGTCCCCGTCCCACGAGTATGGGCTACTGGGAGCACTGGGAGCACTGGGATTGCCCCTTTCCATCCCTCTTGGTCCCCGTCCCACCAGTATGGGCTACTGGGATCACTGGGCCCCTACTCCCTGGCTCCCAGTCCTCCCAGTAAGCCCCAGTTTGGGGGGGGACACGGGTGTTGCAGGGCCCCTGGGCAGCGCCCTCAGCACCCGCTTCGGTGCCCGCCCCGTGGCCATGGCCGGGGGGCTCCTCTCGGGCCTGGGGCTCCTCCTGGGGGCCTTCGCCACCCACATCACCCACCTCTACCTCAGCGTGGGGCTGCTGGCGGGTACGGAGCAGGGGCTGCTGGGAAATGGGGTGCTGGGGGGGGTTGGGTCACCTAGAACATGGGGGGTCACCTAGAACCTGGGGGAGGTCATTGGGTGAGGGATGTGGGTCTGAGATGGATTGGGTCACCTAGAACATGGGGGGTCATCTAGAACTTGGGGGTCATCTAGAACTTGGGGGGTCACCCCACCCCATTGGGTGACCTACACCCCCCCTGCCCCATTGGGTAACCTAGAACATCCCACCCCCCCACACCCCACCCCA